TATTATATATGCGCGGCGCGGCGGGGGCGCATTGGTGCGAATAGCGGAGAATTTTGGTCGCACCAATTGGTGCGAATATCCACTTTGAAAAATTATTGTTGTAAAAGGATAGAAGCAGATATATTAAATTAACTCGACATTTTTGATACTTGTTAGGACTCGACCTTGACGATATGAAGCCAGAGGAGGCGATGACGACGCAGTCCTGTCACCCCCTGAGCCTCACAGTCTTTGAACGTGCGCCGGGCCAGGTCGTAAGCGAGAACCGCGATGGCGACGTAGCCACTCACCCAGACCATGGTGATCGACACCGTGCACAGCACGGCGTGCGTGAAAGGAAGCATCATCCAAAACGGCCATCCTGTGGTGTGTTTACACAGTTTTAAAGGAAACGACGTTCCAGAATCATCTTTCGAAAAAAGCGACGAAAATGAACGCGGAATGGAGCTACGTTAAATTACATCACTCTTTTAGTAAAATTGTTTGTATACCTATCTGATCGTGAAGTCCAACCAGCAGAATGACGGAGTAAACTTGCGTGATGACAAATAAGCCGTATGTTAAGGGCTTGATACCGAGCTTTGGTGGTGACCCAGTGAGCTTTAGGTACTTTATCTGTCACGTACAGGAAACTGATTAACGAATCATTGTACTACAACCTAACAGTCATCGAAAAGTGGCCGTCCCGATCATTGGTTAGGCGTATTTTCTTGATGTGGCATTTTACGTACCTCCATGCGCTCCCAGCTGTAGGTGAGTTTGGTAAAGGAGCGCATGGACAAAAATAAAGGTACCGGTACATATACTTCGAACATTGTTACGATAGTCACTGCCGCCATTTGGGAAAACTCTTGAAGGCCTTCTTTCTGATCACCAGTCCTTAAAATTGTATAAATATTCAATCTTATTAATGCTTTTGAAACCTCTTCTCCTCCTATGTCCATGTCAGAGTGTTGACTCACTTTTCTATTTCTGCTGCTGCAATTAAGTAACAAACCATGGCTGCGTACGGTGCCATGACTGCCCAAAAGGAAACAGTCAGGAGTGTCACCCAGCTTGTCCAGCTAAAGCTAATGTAGCCTTTGTGAAGGAACGTTAGTGCTAACAGCTGCAGAACCGGAATAACTGAGAGTAGCTGTGACATATTTCATTTCAATTACCTGTCTCGGTAAATGTAGCAGGGAGAAGGCACAATCCACGCAGGATTCTCCACAAGTAATATATTTCGTGCATAATTGCAATTTTGTCTCGTTTCTTTTTCGTTTTTTGCTCGCGTGGGTGCCGTCGTCTGAGAAAGTTCTGCACATCTGTGAAAAGACTGAAGAAACTGAAAAAGGTGAACCGCTCTTTCTAAATCCTATATTAAAAGCATTATTTAAAACAGTAGCATCACAAGTGACAGTTCACGCATCTGATTAACTTTTGAATAGGTCTTACATCTTAATCCGAGCAACAAACGTTCTATCGGGTGCAACCGCTGCTCCATCACAAAAGTTGTGGACATTTCAGTTCCAGGGCTCGTCGGACACTGTCCCCGCTTACGAACTGGCCACCCCTTGTCGACGTGTTTGCTGATCATCGAGGAATCGATCAGGACTGGTCGAGAAAGAGAGAGAGAGGGTGGGGGGGGG